TGTTGTGGTTCGGGACCCGCCGAGGTGTTGGGGCTTAAAGCCCACTTGATGGAAATGGGAGGCTCCTCCCTAGCCGGCTCCTGCGGCCATAGGGCTGAGGGCAGGCGGCACTTGGGGGCATTTGAACCCCGAGCCTCCGGGCTTGGGCCGGCACCTAGGATGCTGCCAAAAGCCTTTGGAAATATCTGAAGCCCCTGATGGAGGTGGAGGATGTTTGCTGGTTGTCGGGCCACTTATGGTTCTGGACTGACTCATGGATTTGGACTGGTTTTAGCTGGGAACACGAAAAATTTCTTTAAAAAAAATCATAGAGGACAGTCCGGTTGTCCTCTATTGATACAAAACCAGACGCCATTATGTCCTCTATTTTTCTCTTGAAAAGAAAACTAGAGGACATAAAGGCGCCAGGTTTCGTATCAACAGAAGACAGAGTAGCAGAAAACCGGAGCGTCCTCTATGATGGCCACCCTCATGAATGCCACATGCCCCCAGAGACTGGGAGGGCACGGCGAGCTCCTGCAGGCGGTGGCAGCGGGAGTGTGGTGGTGGCAAGCGGGGAGCTCCTGCAGGCAGCTGCAGCATTGTCAGCGGCAGGGGGGTGCCAAGCACCCGCAGATGGCAGCCACCAGCAATCACGGACCACCCGAGGGGGAGGGGGTGGCGAGAAGCAACTGCCCACAGGTGCCGCCAGCGGTATTGGCAGCACCTTTTTGCAGGGGGTGCACCGCCACCCTCAGGGGGGGCACATGCACCCATGTGCACCCCCTACACATCACCAGTGGCTACCCTACTGTCTCCCCTGTCACACCAGCAACACCCCTGAGATGCAGCACCACAGTAGACACCCCCCAACCCCGAGTGCCCCCGGCTCCCTGCCCACAGCCCCAACACGCACCCACAACCTTCCCTGGCACTGCCTTGCAACACTCCCACAACCAAGGCCCCTCCCCAAGCCCCCTTCTCCAGCCCTTCCTCGTCTCCCACCTCTGCCCAAGAACCTGCACGGCCCCTTATGAAGCTCTCGCTACCTGCTAGCTCTCTCGCATGCTCTTCCCTGCTGCCTTCTTAGCACCCCTTCTGGCCCCTCCCTGACACTCCTTCAGCACCCTGGCTGCCCCCTTGCCCTATGCTCTGTTGGATATGTCCTGGTGCCCCCATAAATCTTGCCCCGTAGTCCACCCCATCTCCACCACACAGCCCCCTTCAACAAGGCTCCTTTATTCCTACCCGTACCTTCATAGGTAAATCCTGTCGCTCAGCAATGTCCTCTGTGATGGCCACTCTACTCAGCACTCCACCAGTTGCCCAGGAAAATCCCCTTGGCCTGGCTGATGTATCCTATAACACTTGCCCCCATATATCCAAAATCAAAACACAAAATAATTTATTTTACTATAACCCCAAGGTCCCTGCCTTCGCACCCCACCTCCACCATCTCTCTTCACAACCATCTAAAAACAAATGGGGACCTTCTCATTCCCCCCCATGAACATCGCATGCCTCCCAAGGCTGGGGGAGCATGACGACCACCCGCAGGTGGCAGTGGCATGGCAGCAGCGAGCGGGGAGCTTCTACAGGGGGCCGCGGTGGTGTTGGCAGCATTGGTGGGGAGGGGGAGGGGGAGGGTGGCGAGCACTGACCAGTGATCAGCGACCACCCGCAGATGCCTCCGGTAGAGTCGGTGGCGACCAGCGGCAATTGGCAACCGCCCGCAGATGCTGCCGGCAGTTTTGGTGGGGAGGTGGTGACTGGTGACTGCCCTCAGGCACCAGCAGCAGTGACAGCGGCCAATCTCAGGGGGTGCACGTGCACCTGTGTGCACCCCCTACACATTGCCAATGTTCCCCCCACATTTAGAGACACTCTGGCCAATGGTGTCACCCTGGTACTCCCGCTGTACCAATGTATGTACACTCTTGAGTGTCATCCCCAAACTCAGATCCATCCTGCCACAATCCATTCTTTACACTCATGAATGTGCACATACTTCCCCTCTCTTCTTTCAGCCTTCAGATATCTGCAAGCATACAGGCTGAACCCAACACTCCTTCCAACCAAAACTATGACTTTTCTATGCCACCTTAATATGCTGTCTCAGGTTCATGCCCCCTCCATTCTCCTCCCTCCCTCCCAGTCATGCATACTGTCAAAACATAAAGAGTATAAACACACCTGTAATTGTAGTGGTCTCCACCCATGGCACCTATTCAACTCATTGCCTGAGAGAACTTCCAGTGCTGTTTGTGGTCACAGAAAATGTTGCTTTCATTGATATGTGTTTCTTCAGAGTGACAAAGAGAACAAAGTATGACTGTCTACGTTGTATTACTTGCTCAGTATTGTTGTTCATGTACCACTGAGAATTAGGGACTGCTGTCTTGCTGGCAACAAGCTCTAGAAGTCAAGCAAGGTATAAGTTCAGATGTGTCAGAGGCAGTTGCAGAACAGTCTCCAGGATGTGCACGCATATGCATGCACACATGTACAAATGTGCCTGCACTTTAGTACCAGTCTATTCTTCAAAACAATCACAGACCTTTTCTTTCCGACTTTCTTTCAAATGTACAACACGGTCCCAAACCTTCCTATACTCACTCATACTTCTCCTTTTTCCCCACTACTTCTCACTGCTTCTTTCTTTTCTCAAAGGGAGATCTTCATCCTTCATAGCTCTTCTCAACCTCTGACTCCCCAATGACATACTAATTCCCTCTCTATCGCTTTGCCTAGCCCACACTGTGGGTGTATATATACGAGATGCTAAAGGCGCAATAGACTAATTCTACTGCACATTAGTGGGGCAAAACCTGTGCTAATGCACTAATGCGCAGTAGAATTAGTCTACTCCTTATTAGCGTCACAAAAAAGCATGCGTCAGTGCTAATGTGCAGTAGCGTTGACTATGGTGCATTAATGAACATGTAGACGTACCCTGTGAGTTTTCCATTTGGAAAGCTATGAAGATCATGATCTATACATCTCAGCAGCCTGAAAACTTTGCTTGAGGCACAGGTTTCAAGTAGCAGCAGCATCTTCTTGTGGAAAATGTTTAGGTTCTACCCAGGAGAACGTTTACAATCTTTTCTCCAGCGTCTGATGAAGGGTGTTTGTGCCCAAAAGCTTGCAATTAAAGACTTTTTTTTGCAAAAATCTTGCTGGTCTAATGAAAGATATCTTTTCTACTATAAGTCCTGACTGCCTTAAGTCTAAGAAAGAACCTAAAAAGAAATTTCAAAATGCATACATGTTCTTTCTCCATGGAGAATCAGCTTTAAGAGCTGAATGAAGATATTTTACTATTGTACCTAATTCCTCAGAGAGAGGAGTTAGGTACCAACATGAGTGCTTGCTGGGCAGGCAGTGACCATGACACCTGCAAGTTTTGGAACTCTGCCCTGCCAGCCCTGGTGCAGACCAGACACTTCCAGGGGTGCTGAATCTCCAGCTGGGTGCCGTGGTGGTCCCACCCCTCTTCACTGGGGACCCCGCCTACCTGCTTCTCCCCTGGCTCATGCCAGCTGGATCCTGGCCAGGCCCACTTCAACAGATGCCTGGGCCAGACCCGTGGCCTGGTAGAGTGCGCTTTTGGCTGCCTCAGGGAATGCTGGTGCACCCTCACTGCTCACCTTGAGTTTGCCAAGGACAATATCCTCATGGGTCAGTCACAGCCTGCATACTGCATTACATCTGCAAGGCCCAGGGGGAAGCTTTTCCGTGAAGCTTGGAGAGAGGAGGCACAGCGGACAGAGGACACATGGCTGCAGAAGTATCAGCTGTGCTGGCAATGCAGGTGTGGGCCCCTCCCGCTGAGGCCCCCAGGTGAGCTGCATACTCACCACCAGGGGCCAGGGCACTGGGTGTGAGAGGTGCTGGCTGACCACCTTCTCCTGCACTCCCTGCTGTAGCCTGCCTGGACAGCCACTCATGGACCCCCACTCCACTGCCCACCCTCAGCACCACACTCACTGCAGACAGTTCTCAGAAAAACACTTTATTGCCCTCACAACAACCAGACCCCCCCCTCCCCTGTCCCTCCCCAACAACAGAGCCCCTCCACCACACGTCCCATCCACCAACAATACAACACCCTCTTCCCCATGCAAACTATTTACAAGGTGGTTTGTGTGTGTACCCTCCTGGGGTGGGTGGCTGTGGAGTGGGGAAACCTAGGGGGTGGATCCTGGGGACAGGCAGCCGGCACCCCAGCCTCTGGCTGTTCCCCTGCAGGTGCACACGCTGTGGCGAGTCCAGCAGGTTGCTCAGGGGTGATGGTGGCTGCTGGTTCCCCGGCACAGGCAGCTCCCCTTCTGGCAACCAGTGGCCAGGGCCAGCAGGTGGTCCTGGCCCCACTGCAGGCAACTCTGGCTCTGAGAGTTCATGGAACTGGGGTGAGTGACAGTGCTGGGCCCAGTTGTGGGGGCTGGGTGGCAGGGGACATGGGGCAGGAGCCAGGGCAGGGGCTTCTCACTGGTGGAGGTGATGGTGGATCTCTGGCCAGGCCCACGAGGCCTGCTGTTAGGTGGTGGGCAGCTGCCAGGGGTCAGGTGAGG